TCAATAATAATGATCTGAAGAAAATAAAACAATGACAGAAGAACAGAAATGGTGAGCCATAAGGGAGCATTCTTAGACTGGGATGTCCTTGGAGGCAGAATTAGTAAGGGCAGAGTGAGAACAAGCAAGAAGCCAGATCCTGTGGGTCCTTGTAGGCCACAAAAGGAATCTGGCTTTTAGTCTGGAAGAAATGGGGAGCTTTGGGGGGGTTTTAAGCAAATCACTGATTCAGTGATTGGCATGTTAGACAAACAGGAAACAGAAAGAAAAAGTGAGTGACTAGGACAGAAGGTGATAGGGCACGATGGGATGGGATGGAGGAGATGGGTGAGACTCTCGAAGGATCATGTTGACTAAATGAAACCAGGTTCTGAGTGGAGGAGTGAAGTACTCCAGCTTTTATCTCTCCAGGATCATTCTGGCTGCTGGGTTATCAACGGACTAAGGAGAGCAAGTAGGGAAACAAGATGTCAGTTAGGATACCATGCCATAATGTATGGAAGAGACATTTTAAGGCAGCTACTGGAGAGGAGCTCAAAGAAAGGGGTAGCAGTGGAGGCGATATGAAATGGGTAGGTTCTGGATATATTTGTGAAGATAATGTGGACAGGATTAGCTAATGTATTAGATATGGCTTCAGAGCAAAAGAGGAATAAAGAACGATTGCAAATGGATCTAAGTGACTAAAAGATGAGGTAACCCTTTGACAGGAGCACTGGGTGGTTATTCTGTAGCAAGAAGTTTAAAGACAGAGAAGTGAGGTACAAATGCTGGGGAAAGGGAAGACATAGAAATGTGTGGACTTCTTCAAGTGCTGCAGTTCATGAAAGTGGAGGAGGTTTGAAATGGTTGTCTAGGAGAGAACAAGATGGAGGGATACAGCTTGACAGCTGGGTAGCACTAAGGTTGCAAATTTAGAATGAGACCAATCACAGGATGGCGACAGATGGAGAATAGGCAGAAAGTTGGATTAAATCATGGTGGTAGATTCAAGAGACTACGGGGACATTAAGAGAGGTACAAGACAGCATACAAGGCAGCAAGTATGACAATGGACCACTGTCTCTTGCATCCTGCTACAGTATCTTCTTCTGGGCTCGCTTTTTTCCATGCAGAATGATATCATCTAATTGTTTCAAAGACAGCCCATGCTATTAGCTGTCTACGTCACTACTTCTCTGCAGATACCTTCATTTCACATTATCTTAATTCACAGTTTATCAGACATAGACTTCTAAGGTACACGTTATTTTCCCTGAGTCCTTTGAAGATACTGTTCCAATATCTTCTTGCATCCAGCACTGCTGATGAAAAGTCTGGTGTAAATGTCATTGTTTCTCCTAAATAGGCGATTTCTCCAGTAGAATTTGGAATTTTATGTCATTGTTTTTCTGAATTATCACTGCCATGTTTCTAGATGACTGGTCTTATTCAACACTGTATAGCCTGGGTTTCTCTTGGCTGTTCTAGATTGACCCCACGCTTATCTCTAGGGTTGCCCGAAGCACGGTACTGACACTTGGCCAAAGCTACGGCCAAGATAAGTGATGTTTGTGATCATGGGATCCTGAGCTGTTTAAGGGGCAGAATACACCAGCTTGTCAGTGCGATTTTGTGATAATAACTGGACTGACAAGGTGCATCTGATTTTAGAAGCACCTGGGGAGGTCCACAGGTTGAGTTTGGCTATGTAGATGGAGATGCTTGTGTGACCCTCTCACAGATCCCTACCACTTCCTCATACCAAGGTGCTTTACACATAAGCCAGTAATGGTTTCACATCTACAGAAAAATCATGTCCAAGGCCAAGAAGCCTGGACCCAAGATCTCCAGATCACTTCAATGAGTATCATTTTACTACTGTCGCTGTAATGGACATTGCCTATAAACAGTAAAATCTTGTGAATCTTTTCAACAACCAAACATTAGTTAACATACAATTAGCACACACAACTGTAAAAGCACTAATACTTATTAAGTGAAGCATGAGAAAGCCTCTACAATGAAATGTTACAAAAATCCAGACATTCTTGGTGAAAACAAATCTTTAAACTCCTCAAAAGGTTTTGGTTTTTCTGATCCAAGCAGTCTTTCTGAGAATTTCCTTTCTATAGAGCTCAACTGTCCAGCAGAAATATAATGCAAGCCACATAAGTAATTTTAAAATGTCTAGTAGCCACAGTAAAAAATAAACAGGTGAATTCAATTTCAGTAATATAGTTAACCTACTATATCAAAAGTATTACCATTCAACATGTAATCATAACACATTGATGAGATATTTTATTCTGTTTTCTTACTCTTTGAAATGTGGTATATATTTTTATACTATAGCACATGTCAATTCAGACTAGCCACATTCAAGTGCTCAACAGCTGCACATGGCTACGATAATGGACAATGTAGCTATGAGTTTAAGACTGAATCGAATTATTCACTACCTGAATAACAAGCTGTATCATTTCAGAAAATAGTTGTGTAGCATCCCCTTTGATGCTATTCAGTGGTCAGTTTCTTTCTGACAAGTAATTATACTTAGATTCTTTACTAATCTAACTCTTCAATCTAAATCCTACAATCCCCACTTCCTGTTCTAAGGTCATCAGGCCTTCAAATGCTGTCATGTTTCTTCCATTTTTCTCTTTCCTGACAATACTCTGTAACCACAATGTTCCTTTGTCTGATACCTCTTACGTTCTTCAGATGTGCAAATCCACTCATTAATTTACAATTACGATATTGCATTTTCAAATGTTATAGCATTAAAGCATTCAATGGAAGTGGGTTATGAATAACATCCAATCTTCCATTACTGTGACTCAGTATCACGAGAACCTCATGCTATCCCAGGAAAGGCTATGGTGAATTCAATGCCAACTGTGATTTTTCTGCCTCAATTTGAAAATCACTGACTGATGATTTGCCAATTACTGTGAAATAAAACACCTTGTTTGTGGTCACATAGATTTGATCAGATTGATATTCACGAGTTTGATAAATGAGTTCTGATAACTTACGCATTTGCATCTGATGTAAATTTTTCTTCACAATATGAATGTATGACTAGGAAGTTTTTAACACTGGCTACAGGCTGACATGCCTGCAGTGACACTGGCTCTATGGTAGTAATCCCCTTACATGAAGAAAGTTTGATACTAAAACCATGGCACATTTGTTACAATCTTTCCTAGGTGAGTTTTCTGATGTAAGTCTTGAACATTTTTTCTAAATGTCTTGTCAAATTCATAATCTTTGAAAGGTTTGCCTCCTGTATGAATGCTCTGAAGTTCATTAGGGCTGATACAATGGTTTTATTGAAGAGTTTCCTCATTCATTGTATCTGAAATCTACAAAGACTAGAATATACACTAAAAGCCTTACATCAAGTTACATCTACAAGATTTCTTTCCAGTATGAATTATCTGATAAACCTTATGGCAGGACCCTCATTTCAGGCCTTTCCACTAAATGACAGTGTTTATAAAGCTAAAAGTAAAACACAGAAGCAGAAAAAAACCGAAAAAGCAAAAAAGCTAACCAGCTTCATAAAGAGTTTGTAAAAAAAAAAAAAAGAGGCTATATTTTTAATAATCCATTTGAAATAGTTCACTAATATTAAAATTTAGAGGTAACAAAAAATTATGTAAAATTTATAGACAAGACTTAAGCCTTAAATCCTTTTTCTTTTTTTTTCTTTTTTTTTTTTTTGAGACAGAGTCTCGCTTTGTTGCCCAGGCTGGAGTGCAGTGGCGCGATCTCAGCTCACTGCAACCTCTGCCTCCTGGGTTCAAGTGTTTCTCCTGTCTCAGCCTCCTGAGTAGTTGGGACTACAGGCATGTGCCACCACAAGTGGCTAATTTTTGTATTTTTTGTAGAGATGGGGTTTCACCATGTTGGCCAGGCTGGTCTCGAACTCCTGACCTCAAGTGACCTGCCCACCTTGGCCTCCCAAAGTACTGGAATTACAGACATGGACCACTGTGCCCGACCTTTTAGCCTTAAATCTAAATTCTACCAATCCCTTTGCTTTGGTTAAAAATAATAAGAGCATATAAGTTAGAGAGTAGTAAATTAATTAATTCAGCTACTATAAAAAGAAAAAGAAAGAAAGAAAGAAAATAAAAAAGACATATCTAAACTTCCTTGTCACGGAAACTTCTACTCCTTAAAGATGAATAGAGACTAGGTGGAGAGGGGAAGAAAGAGGAGGTATTTAACACTTCACCTAAGCAAATACTGAACAGTTAAATACCGAACTCAGCTTTCTGAAATCACAGTGCTACCTTCTCATTCCCCACTTTCAGAGAGATGTAGTTACCTTTGCCTAGCTTGCTCTTCTCCCATAATTCTGTATCACTATCTTTACTCACTTCCCAGACCCAAAGGAAATACTTTCCAGTACTAACTTCTACATTTAAAAGGTATTATTCCTCCAGGCTTCCACAACAACCTCCCATGAGGCATTTCTGCACTGTACTATAATCACATTCATGATGTCTCTCCCTCTACAGGCTCTAAGCTGTAAAATCAAGGACTTCACAGGGACCTTTTACATCTTCAGAACCTAGCACAGTGTCTGACACATAGCATATGTTCAAGAGTTTTAAAAGAAATTATCCTATCTGAAATCATGCAAATACCTTCAAAATTACACTTTCTAGAAAAGTAGTTTATTTCTTGAGTTATTAGAGGCTATTTTAGTTGCACTGTTTCCTAGTACTCACCCAAGAGTTTAAAAAAAGAAACCTAGGAGGGAAAAACAAGTCAATGGCATTTTATGACTAAAATATGATTCAGTCACTATTTTTCTAAGAAACTTTACAACAATTAGAACTCTGGTCAGTCACATATTAACTAATAAATCTTAAAAACAACGTTTCTGTAATATGAAAAGTCCCTGATAAGTTAAATGAAAATTATTACACTATCTTTTTTCATACACGCCATTAAATTTTAACCTAAATAAACATTAAAGATGTCTCATGGAAAAACGTACTTACCCTGACATCAGTAGCATCTCCATGCCTGATAATACTGGCCCAGGTGGTTGGCTCACTATTGCTTTCAAAATAATGAAAGACCTTTAATACTCGCTCCATCGCACCAGGAGAACGTTCCATACCAGTACCCAGGTGAGTCTTAGTACTCGAATTTGGCGTGTGATTCAAGTTGGGGTCAAGGTAAGCAGCTGCCATTATTTTGCTAGATGCTAGGTATCTGTCATATTCTGTTAAGAGAACAAAATAATTTTTGGTGTATAATACTTGAAATCTACCAATTACAATGTGATATGTTGATGTTTATACGAAATGTCCTATACTCTCTCAAGTTATATGCAGAAGGAGCCTGAGGAGAATAGAGACCTAACCCACTAAAATAATCGCTATCTCTCCCCACACCCAGAGTAGGACCTGATTTACAGAATAAATATTTGTTAAACAAATTATTAAAAGGCCAGGACTCCAATTTCAGCTGTGTCAAAAAATATCTACAAACAATGTAACACCCCCACCCCACCCCTTTTATTATCATAGCCTTTATATTTGTTGGAAAATCTCATAGCAAAGCCAAATTTATGAATTTGCTGCCTACTTTTGAAAACTTTTACCTAAGAGAAAAGTTCTTTCTTCGTATAATACAAATTCAATGAATAGTCATTACACATACTACACACTGGTGATTAACAACACTATAATTAAAATAAGGTCCCTGGCTTAACCAACTCACTGTTAACAGGAGAATCAGACAGAGAGCAACTGAAAACAAAACGAAAAAAGCATGCACAATTACATTTTTTAAGTGCGATAAAGAGCTTCTATTTGAGTGTGAAGAAATAGCCTGCACAAGCCTGAACACCCACTGAGAAAAACGAAAATCCAGATTAAAAATCTTTTTAACCCAAACAATGTTTGAAGGGCTCAAGATGAAGACATTCTGAGGCAACCAAGACAATGAGTGACACCGATGAAGACAGGAAATTCTACTTAACAACTGGCTGCTTTTTCCCACAGGGCATTTGCCAATTCTGAGCCCTTCAGAGCTGAAAGGGCCAGGAAAAGTCTACTAATGGGAGAGAAACCAGCAGAGCTTTTGGCAGCAAGAGATCAAATCTTGGATTCTGGTGAGAAGGAAGGGTGGAGACTGTGTCAAACACTCTGCGGGTTGTCTCCTGAAGACAGTTACTGAATCCTGAACCTGAGCTGAGAAGGAGTCTCTCAAAACAGTGAAAGTGTTTAGAAAACAGGAGTAAGACCTCAGGAATAAACCAGAATAATATCAGGACATCCCCAGGCTTGCAATGAGAACAGCTGGGTGCAGAAGCAAAGGGAGCTTTGTAAACCTGGAGTACAATACCTGCTCAGATCCATCGTGGCAGGCCAGGTATGGCTGCTCATGACTGTAATCCCAGCCCTTTGGAAGGCTGAGGCGGGAAGACTGCGTGAACCCAGGAGTTTGAGACCAGCCTGGGCAACATGACAAGACCTTGTCTCTACTAAAAAATACAAAAATTAGCTTGGGCATGGTAGTGTGTTCCTGTAGTCCCAGCTACTCAGGAGGCTAAGGTGGGAGGACAGCTTGAGCCCAGGAGGTTGAAGCTATAGTGAGCTGTGACTACATTGCTGCACTTCAGCCTGGACCACAGAGTAAGATTGTCTCAAAACAAACACACACACAAACACAAACACAAAACCACAGATCCAGCCAGGCACAGATGCTCATGCCTACAATCCCAACACTTTGGGAGGCTGAGGCAGGCAGACTGCTTGAGCTCAAAAGTTCAAGACCAACCTAGCCACCTTGGCAAAACCCCATCTCTACAAAAAACATACAATAAAGAGCCAGGAGTTGTGGCGCAAGCCTGTGGTCCCAGCTACTTGGGAGGCTGAGGTGGGAGGATCACTTGAACCCAGGAGGGGAAGGCTACAATGAGCCGAGATCGTGCCACTGCTCTCCAGCCTGGGGGACAGAGCCAGACCCTGTCATCTCCCCACTATCTGCCCAGCAAAGAAAAGGGCCAACCCTCTGTTGGTATCAAACAAAGCACAAATAACATCTTTTTCATCCAAATCACTTTCCAATTAGTTAAAAAAAAAAAAAAAAAAAGATATGACAGCACAGTAAAAGGAAAACCATAAACCAAGTCAAAAGATGTCAAAAACACAGAAGAAAAACACATGTACCATATATCACAGAAATAAGCTAATACCCTATATATATATACACAGAAATTCTTTTAAAATGAGGGGGGAAATGATAGAAAAGAATGCAAAAAAAATCCAATTAATTAAAAAGATATACCAAGCGTAGGCAAGGATGTGAAGAAACTGGAACCTTCCTACATTGCTGGAAGAGTATAAAATGGTGCAACTGCTATGAAAATAGTTTGGCAGCTCCTCAAAAGGTTAAACACGGAGTTACCATGTGAACCTACCATTCCATTTCTAGGTAGACATACGCCCAAAAGAACTGAAAATGTATGTCCAGATAAAAACTCACGGCCGGGCATACTGGCTCATGCCTGTAATCCCAGCACTTTGGGAGACTCAGGCAGGTGGATTGCTTGAGCTCAGGAGTTCAAGACCAGCCTGGGCAACATGGCAAAACCCCACCTCTACAAAAACCACAAAAATTAACTGGGCATGGTGGCATGTGCCTGTAGTCCCAGCTACTTGGGAGGCTGAGGCTTGCTTGAGCCCAGGAGGTCGAGGCTGCAGTGAACTGTAATCATGCCACTGCACTCCAGCTTAGGTGACAGAGAGAGACCCTGAGATAAAACAAACTGAAACACCCTCACATGTGAAAGTTCACAGCGGCATTACCCACAACACTGAAAAGTGAAAATAACCCAAATATCCACATCCTTCACTGGATAAACAGATTAACAAAATGTGGTATACCCAACAATGAAATAGTGTTCAGCAAAAAAAGAAATGAAGCACTGATACATGCTACAGCACAGAGCAACCTTGAGAACATTATACTACAAAGGAATCAGACATGCAAGATCACAAATTGTGATTCCACTTATATGAAGGAATACGCAAATCTATAGAGAAGAAAGATTACCAGCTGCCAGTGCCTAGGGGTAGGGCAGAGTTGGGAATGACGGCTAATAGGTAAGGAGTTTCTTTTGGAGATGAGAGAAATGGTTTGAATTTTGATCATGGTGATGGTTGAATATACTAAAAAACACTCAATTGTACACTTTGAAGTTGTTAAAACGGTGAATTTTATGTTATGAGAATTTTACCTCTGTGAAAATACAAATACATAAACAACTGTCAAATAATTTTTTAAAAAGGTCACAGCAGTACCCTGTCTGTTGGTAAGGATGTGGGGAAACAGGAACTCTCATACACTGCTCATAGGAATGTGAATTTTCTATCATATGGATAAAGAGGAATTTGACAATAACAAAACTACATGTGCCTTCTGATCCAGCAATTCCGCTTCTAGAAATTTATGCCAAAGATACACTGTTACAAACTAAACGTTTGTTTGCTCCCAAAATTAGTAAGTTGAGACCATACTCCCCAATGTGATGCTATTACAAGGTAGGGTCTTTTGGAGGCAACGTGGACTAGATGAGGTCATAATGGTGAGGCCCTCATGAACGGGATTAGTGTCCTTGTGAAAGTCCAAGAGCATGCTTCCTGTCTCTGCTCTCCAGAGATATGCCTGAGCATCTAAGTCCACAGTCTGAAACCCGGAAAAAAGGGCCCTCACCAGAACTCCACCATACTGTCACTCTTATCTAGGACTTCCAGCCTCTAGACCAGTGAGAAATAAGTTTCTGTTGTTTATAAGCCACCCAGTTTATGTATTTTGTTACAATCATCCCAAGTGAAGAGATATGTTTAACAACAACATGAAAATACATATGCATAAGGTTATTCACTGCAGCCTTGCAAAGTATTAGGAAACATCTAAATGCCCATTCATGGGAGACTAATGGAATAAACTATGGTACATTCCCATAATGAAGTACTATAAATCTGTTGGGGGCGGGGGGAAGGAAAGAAGAGCCCTATAACTGACTAAGTATGATTTCCAGGATTTATTAAGTTAAAAACCCAAAGTGCAAATCACAGCCACAGCATACCTTTTGAATAAAATGGGGAAAACAGGAAAATACAAATGTGTCTGCTCATATGTGCAAAATAACCCCACAAAGTAGAAATGGGAATCCAGTGAGACTGGTTACACATGGGAGAGGTGTGACCAAGATGGAAAGTGCAGGAATGGGGTGGCACTTCTGAGTATACATGAATACACCCTTATAACTTTTGGTACCCTATAGAAGATCTGAAGAGCACGATGAACAAATCTGATCTAACTGACACTATACCTAATAGGATAATACATAATCTTTGCAAGTACACAAGAAATATTTTCTACAGTTGCCCATATGCTGAGTGAAAGAGCAAGATTCAATAAATATCAAGGGACTAAAATTATTCAAAGTATATTCTGTGTCTAGCATTAGGCTAGACAACAATTACAAACTAACTAGAAAATGTTCCATTGTCAAGAAATTAAGCAGTGTATTTCAAGTAACCCTTTAAGTCAAAAAGAGACTCAAAAGTATTTTGAATTAAATAATACACTGAAAAGAAATATCAAAACTGTGAAAGTAGACAGAGCTATGCTTAGAGTAAAATCTATATGTTTGGCAAGGCACAGGGAATCATGCCTGTAATCCCAGCACTTTCGGAGGCTGAGATGGGAGGACAGCTTGAGGCCAGGAGTTCAAGACCTGCCTGGGCAACACAGTGAGACCCCTACAAAATAATCTAAAAATTAGCTGGGCATGGTGGTGTGTGCCTGTAGTCCCAGCTCCTTGGGAGGCTGAGGCAGGAGGACTGCTTAAGCCCCAGAGCTTAAGTTATGACTGTATCACTGTACTCCAGCCTGAGCAAAAGAGCACAACCCTGTCTCCTTTAAAAAAAAAAAAATTACATACTTAAATTCATGTATTAGAAGTGATAGTTGAGTATCTCTAAGAATATACATCTGGGAGTATATTCTCCCAGGGAGGATGGTTAATTCACAGAAAAACAGAATGCATGACATCTAGTATTTGGTAGCACAACTAGGGATTACAGCCAACAAAAATGTACATTTAAAAATAACTAAGAGTATAATTAGAATGTTTGTAACACCAAAAAAATGAGAAATGTTTGAGGTGATGGATACCCCATTTAGCCTGATGTGATTATTATGCAC